GTGGAAAGTGAGACATTGTTGGAATTCTCCCGCTCTCCGCTCCTTTTTCCTCTTTTTTTCTTCTTTTCTCTCTCTCTCCGCGCCGCTCTTTTCTTTTCTCTCTCTGCGCCGCTCCCTTTCCCGCTCCCTTTCCGCTCTCTCTCTTTTCTCGTGCTGTATTCTCTCTCCTCAACACTTTTTCCATCACTTCCATCCCTCTCTCTTCTTCCCTTCTCTTCCAAACAAAACCTAACTACGACTCTCCTTCATTACTCTCAACCACATGCTTACCACATCGAATCCCACTCATCGCTCTCAACCACAAGCCGACCCTCTCGACAGCTACTATAAAAACCCAACTCAAATGTCTGCGATCAAATTTCCCTCAACAGTCTCCTCCGTCACTCTCTTCGATCAACCATCGACGTTCTCGATCGACTAACCTCCTCGTTTCAACACTGTTCGACTACTCCCTCAATATCGTCCTCACAGCTCCACTCCTCCACCATTCCTCTCAACATCGCACTTCGTCTCCGTTTCTTCTCTTCTCTCTTCCTCTACTTTCTCTCCCTCCTATCACTCCTTGCTCACTCGCGCCAACGTCAACTACACATTGTCTCATCCTCGACTCAGCGTTCTCTCCTCCTAATTCCTCCGACTCTCTCTCTCGATCTTCTCACTTGGCTTTTGCCAATTTGGTGAGAAAAAAGTCTCTCATTGAACTCACTTATCATAAACTTTGATTAACCTTTCTCGTTTCTATCTTCTCTCACAACTCAGTGTCTACTACCTGTCATTGTTTGACCTCGTGTTCTTCAGTCTTTCTACTCTGTCTAATTCAAAAATAAACTATCATCGTGGTAAATCTCTTCTTCATTTCTGTCATGTTTTCTTGTTTCTTTTCTATCTAAATTTGTTTTTCTAACACTTGTTTTTATCTCTTTGAAGTTCTGGTTCTAGTGTCAATTATATTTCCTGTTTTTCATCAGACATATATTCTGTATCATCTCAGAGGGATGATCCCACCAAAAATGTCTTTGATACACATGATATTTGGCTGTGTTGAAGAAAAATGAAAAAAATGAAGACACTGTTTTTTGCATTTGCAAATCCAAATCTGAGGTGGTGGATTTTCTCACCAACAAAGGAAATACTGATAGCAGATATCAGGTTCAAAATAAAGACAATACCAAATAAGTGTCTTGTATCTGTTTCAGTGTTGGCTAACACTACAGGCTTGGTGTCCTGTTTTGAGGGCTTCTAAACTAAAATTAGTGCTCTGTTTGGCACAGTGTAGAATAGAGATGGTCGCGGATAATCCGCCGCGGATATCCACTATCCGCTGGCGGATACCCGCCAGTGCCAGCGGATACCCGCCAGCGGGTGCGGATTTGGGTGCGGATGCACCCTTCCCCCTGAAATACTGGCGGGTATCCGGGTATCCCTTGGGATACCCGGTGCCAAGAGGCCACACCGCTGGGAGGAATCCCTCCCGGCAAGCTGGTTTTTAAACCAGCTCATCAGGAGGGGTTCCTCCCGACGAGCTGGTCTGTGTACCAGCTCGTCGGGAGGGGTTCCTCCCCGCGAGCGTCCACAGGCCAACTCGCTGGGAGCGGTTCCTCCCAGCGAGCTGGTTTTTAAACCAGCTCGCCTGGAGGGGTTCCTCCCGACGAGCTGGTCTGTGTACCAGCTCGCCGGGAGGGGTTCCTCCCGGCGAGCTGGATTGTGTAGACGCTCGCCGGGAGGAACCACTCCCAGCGAGCTGGCCTGTAGACGCTCGCCAGGAGGGGTTCCTCCCGACGATGTGGCCTCTGCCCCTTTAGGCCGAGGGGGCTGGTTTTTTTTTCTTTTTTTTTAAAAAAAAAACACTCCTGGTAGAGCCTCGCCGCCCATTCAGAGGGCGGGTATCCGCGGGTATCCGCCGGCGGATGCAGATGCGGATGCGGATGTGTGTTTCCGCTGAAATCGTGAGCGGATATCTGCATCCGCGCGGATATCCGGATTCAATGTGCCCATCTCTAGTGTAGAATAGCAGCCCATTGCTGTTAATTTACAAAGGCAAGATTTAAAAACATGGTTCCAGTTCATCAGTTGCATAAATACTTTGCTTCCCCATCAAAATGAAAGATAATTAGACCCTGTTTTTCTGTGTCTTAAATATAGGTGTAATATTGTGTGTTTGATTGTTTAGGTGTAATATTGTGTGTTTGATTGTTTACAAAATAAACCAATTGGAAATATGTGACAACATTGTTCTTCAAGTAAGCTTGATAACTTATTTCATAAAAATTAATTAATCTAAAATTCATGTCTATGGCCATCTTCATCACCATAATGGAGGACTTCCCGTCAACTTCTGCGGGTCTCCCAGAGTCGGTTTAGAGCGTCAAACTTCAAATTTCCCTGCGAGAATTAAAAGTTTTTGGCTCTAGATCGACTTCTGCGAGGGTCCCAGATCCGACGGGAAGTCCTCCAATATCAATAGGGCCTTGTTCAATCTACTCCCAAACTGGGTAGTTGTGGGGAGGATTGCTTGGGGACCGTCTCAGGACATCCCCAGCCCCAATTTTGAGGTCTCCCCTCAATCTTGAGAGCAACAGTGGGTATTTGCTCTACCCGTCAAATTAGTGTATCAATAACACAATAGAATCATGGCCATCAGCATTGAAATAATCACAATGGCCTTTCTGTCATGTTCTCTTTTTTCAACATTCTTTTTTTCATTATGTTATCCACTGTAATTAAAGGTGGATAACAGATAAATAACAATGTGGATAACACAAGTAACTTGTTGTTCCCATTATTTTTCTTGGTAACTAGGGGTTGCATCCCCTTTGTCACATTACTTACAGCCCAAAAATCCAGTTTGTCTGGATCACACCAATGGTGTTATCTGGACAGACAAAAAAACTTTCAAAAAAAAAAACAAGAAAGGACCCTGATGTCGGAGGTAGCAAAACATGCATCTGCCCCCCAAAACCGGGTATTCCTAGGTAAGGTAGCAAAAAACCCGGATTTTGCGGGTTTTACATTATGTATGTAGGTGGCCGCTTGATAGGGGCTCTCTGGGGTCCTATCTCATCCCCATGCGGGCTTTATTCGGGTAATAATATGTAGCCCGACTTCTGGCTGTTTTGCAAGACCTGATCCGATCTGCAGGTTTCGCGGATTCCTCCGGATTCGCGAGATCCAGATTTCTGTTTTGTAAAGTGCAATGCTAATGGCGACATCGCACTTTAAAAAAAATGTCGCCATTAGCGGAACCCTGGAACACACAATCCATTGTGTCAATTACTCATTTTGCCGAGCTTCATCGACGTTCACTAACAGATAAATGTGTTCACTCCTGCGACAGGCTGATCAAACCCAGAGATGAGCTATTCACCGGCATATCGGACGCAAACGCTTGAGATGCTTCAGCCTCCTGAGCCATGTAATGTATGGATCATACCACCAAGATTCAACTGGGCCCGCTATCAACCATATCAGGATGATTGCACAAGAAAAACGTCTCTAAATACACCTGCCGTTATCAGTCCGTCCCAATCGCAAGCATTTGCACTACTGCACTACTAGGGATGATAACGCAACCTAAACACCGAGTTGCTTTTTGATAATGCTGCAGCACACTACATTTACATCAACCCGGCTGGAGAAAAGCTCGAATGTGAAAACCCCCCACAACTCGTCTACGCGTCCGCGGTGCACCGATGGCAATCGCAAGACGTAGATTTGCTCACCTACACATGTTCATAATGGCTTGGCTTACATCGTGCAGTGCGACAGAGACATGTGAATTTAGGAAACACCAGCGAACTGGCTGCAAGCAGATTACGTGCGATACTCTAAACTATCAAGATTCCGCTTTGAAGAAAGGAGTCACTCTCGCTTGAAGTAGGGAGTGTGACAGGCGGGTTCACTATTTTCTAATGACTAAGTCAGTTTGTGTGATGGAGTAAAATAAACCTTGAGTGATAGGAAGGGCTTCATCCCGTACGGGCATCCAATTCATTGATATATGTCCTTGCGGTCATAACTCGGAAGAAAGCCAACCAAATAACCCTGATCCCATGGTGGATGAGGATGAAGAAAGCCTGTGGGATGAAAGACAATTATTTCCCAACCATTTGATCCAAATCAAGTGAACGTCTGACTTTAACGATGCCATGGAGTATTTACATAGAGGCTAAGCTGCTCAATGCAAGCCTGGAGATCCCAGACTTGAGTAATGCTCAACGATCAATCTCAAGCTAATCCAGCTACCTCACATTCCAACAAGCTTCACATGAAAGATGAGACTTTTTGTGGACTATATCGATTCGAGTACATCCCATGGACTGATGATCCCAAGTGAACCAAAAGCCTTGCCGCTATTAAAAGCGCATTAACAACTCTTGATTAAAATTGTCAGGATTCCCAAGTAACACTGACTGTTGACCTGCAGATACAAAGTATTTTAAGTTAGTGGTGCCACTGGCCAGACCCTTCGGTGATTGAACCTTCAAGGATGCGCCAGAGTCGGAACCTTTTTTGTAGGCAACGTATTTACCGTTGGGTCTGTTCTTCGTAATGAGCTGGTTCAGGGGGGGGGGGGGGGGGGAAAAAAAAATGGGTAAAAGTCAATGTCCCTCCCCCCCCAAAATCACATCCTATCGAAATTCAAAGGGATCGTTTACAGGTTACCTTGGGAGCTTCGAGCTCCGAGTGTTGTTGATGTTTGTGATTAGATTGAAGCTCTAGTAGACCAATAGAACGGATGGAAAGAGACCACAACAGACGCTAGCTAAGACTTTCATAGAATGGCTTCAAACGTCTACTGCTAGATATGGAACCCTTATGACACTTGAAATAGTGACTATAGGAGAATTTAGATAGATTTAAGCTCTTACAATATATTGGCGACTCGTCCTCCTCCAGACTCAGTCATACAAATTCCTCCCATAAATATTTCATCATATCAGAATCAATTTTCCATCAACGGTCTGATACATAGCTACAAGTTGTGACAACTAATATTCAGTATGGCCCCTCTAGCACCAAGAAAAATCACCCTGACTCAACTTCCGACCGAGATTAAATGCCTTATCATTAATTATCTTGCACTTCAGACGGAGACGAGCGTGCCTCATCCAGTGAATGAGATAGCAACCCCTTGGTTAAATCTTGCGTTGGTTAATCGAAACTTTTATGAACTGTGTAGTGCGATACATTGGAAAGTACGATTCCCGTTTTTCTTTCATGCCATTTTCGCCTGCGGATCGATTGCTTTTACATCCAATGGTTTGATGTCAGATAACCTGGCCCCCGATGCTCGAGCATTCCATAACTGATCGCTTGTTTTCTTTCTCGTCCTGATTTAGCTGGTCAGCGTGCGGCACGAAGAAGGACTCCGCCTTGAGCAGCTCATTCATGAAATCTTGCCTCGTCATGCAAAACACGTGCGAGTCCTTGTTCTCGAAATGCACAACGGGGTTCTCGAGCTGTCCCGCTCCAGGAATGTGGACCCAATAGGAATCGTAGCGGACACACTTCCTCGGGGAAAACTAATCGACATTTTGGACCTTTGTACCAATTTGACTGGACTCCACATAGAGGTCGACCTTTACTATGTCGGGCCTGAAATCATGAGCAATGACCTCCCCAACGCTATCCCCACATCGATTCATCCGACCGCTCAGCTTTCAAACTTGACGTACTTTTATCTAGATGACAACACACCCGGCCCGGAGGAAGAAGGTTGCTTTAGAGAAGAGCACTTAGTCAGCTTGATAAGGGATATGGTGCATTTAGTTCATTTTCGTCTCACTGGACATTCCGGTTTTTTACCACCGCACCCCTTATTCATGGAAACAAACAACATTCAGCCGGTTGTGTCTCCAGTAGCCCTTCATCTAGCTTCACTGAAATCGCTCAAAATCATCGATCTCACCGTTTCGAGTTGTTTTAACTCGAGCTGGAGCAAAATCGAGTGGAAAGGAGCACTCGAAGCAATCGTACTACACGACATCCCTCAGGTTTCTTTTGGTGTCCTGCATTCTTTCTGCAGCCTCTTCGCGGAGAGCTTGGTTTCTCTCTCCCTTTGCGACGTTCCTCTCAGCGCTTTTCACAATGGTCGATATACCCGCCTACCCGCATTGGAGCTTAAACACGTCTTTCGCTTGCCCAAGCTGGAGAAGCTGTCTGTTTTTACACCCTATTCGACTGAATTTCTTCGCTTATTCCGAGAGTGTCGCCACATCACCAAGATCAACCTTGTTGCCAATCGTCAAATTCGGCCTTCCGATCTTAAACTCTTGATCAATCATGACGATCCGATCTGGATCCACTTGAAATCACTTGTAGTACAAGTTGTCCATGTTGGCAAGGGGAGATACAGGCCTAACGAAATCACCGATTTGGTTTCTCATTGTTCAAAAGTCGGTGTGAAAGTGGAATGCGGCTACAATCCAAACCATAGAAACCGACTTTTCGAGTGTTATCAGATGAGGCAAATAAATGTGCATGTTTGGAATCCCGAAGAGTCAAGCGCTAGCGAAAGTGAGGACGAAAGTGATGGCGAAGTCGGAGTCGTAGGTGATGGCGATTGGGAGGGCAATTGGGAAGACGATTGGGAAGACGATCTTGAAGGCGATATTCAAGGCGAAAGGGAAGGCAACCACGTCAACCAAAATGAAGGTCATAATGATAATTAAATCGAAATTGAAAGTGAAGACCCCATTCATTCAGAGGAAAACGGAATATCATAAGTATTTTGGTGCATGCAGCGGCTTTCTTCTGTGTATATGTGTATCTTGTATCAGGATATCTGCAAATTTTCATGACTTTGTGTAAAAAAAATCTTCAGCAAATCTCATAAGACCAACATAAGTGCTGAAACCAATTTGTCACATCAGATAGTACTTGCATGAATAAAAACTGTCTCTCAAGGTGTTGCAATGAAGAATGCTGTGGTGTGATGGATGTGAAAGGATTATTCATTATCCAAAGAAATAGAAGCCAGACAGGAAGAGAAAAGAAGAGAGAAAGAGAGAAAACAATACCTGGGGTGTGATGGTTGTGAAAGATGAGGAGAGTCCTTACACAACCAAAAGCCGCAGGTTGAATCAAATACTTTGTAGAAATAATATTATGAAACTCAATAGAAGTAATAATCTCAACAAACCGTAATGATGAGTAAGTATGATCAAAGACCTGAAAAAAACAATCAGAAAATGAAAATACCTGATGAATGAGATCAGAATGCAGCAAAATTAAAATACAAAACACAACAACATTGAATTTTTAACACAAAGATTATCACAACAAAATAGCCTGAAAGTATAATAAAAAGAAACAGACAGTCAATGACTTGTAACAATCAGTAAGAGATAGCAAAAAACACTACCTGCCCAGAAGCTAGATCTAACTCCCCCTGAATGTTAGAAGTGGCTGGTTGATGAGTCAAGTATAGAAACTTGATTGATCAGCAATCAACTGTTGTATTGTGCTCCCAATCCAATCCATTCTACTTTATTTTAATCTCAATCCAATAGACATAATTTCCATTGAATTTCAAACCCTGTGTATTGGAAGTGACTATAGTATTGGCAATGATGGGCCATATATGCTAACTGTAGTGTTAGCACAGTGTAACATAGTGGAATTTCACTGAAATTTAGCTTAGCCAGTGGAATTCCACCACAACTGTGCTAGTACTGCGCATGTGTAAGGACTGTGTGTGTCCTTCACTGGATGAACTGGGAATGGCACTGATGGGACGGGCTGATGAAGCCTAGGCAATTTCTAAAACCAAACACTGTGGGGTTTGATTACTGGGTCAGATCTCTCCTCTCTACCATCTAGAAGCAATAAAGAAACAATAGAAGGGAAATATTAAAATGGAAACTCACCTGGCTCAGAGAGAATGTGTGTCAGATCTGTGCTGAGCCAGGAAGGGAAGCAGGGATCAGAAGTACTGAGAGGGGAGTGACATGTACAAGAAGTCCTTGTGAAACCCAGCCAGAGGAGGGGGCTTACAGCATGCAGGCTGCAAAAAAAGGCTCACTATGCTGCACCACAGCACATTTTAGTAATTTTTTGGTATTTTTCCTGCTCAAAGTGTTGTAGTGCAATGTAGTGGGACTAAGAGCATGCTAAAATTACAGTGTTGGTGTTCTCTTTTGAGGGCTGCTACACTAACAATAGTGGGCCATTGTGCATAGCAGCTCATTGCTGCTATTGGGAGAGCCAATCCTTGTTGGATTCCATTCCTCAATCTAGCCCTTGAAAGAGGGGTGCAGCAGGTAAGCTTTACCCTTAGATTTTAAGCTACCTAGAAAGGATAAATTACATACTGATCATGTACAGTATCCTCCCCAGATGTTTATGGTCTGGGGGTAAACCTGTCACAGGTCCACATGAGACCGCGCAGTGGCGCACTACAAAACTCAGCCAAAAGTTCAGCAGATTGTTGTAACACGCCTACCAACAAGAAAAGAAGCCATCATCTTATCCCAAGCCAACATCATCTGTGGCCAGCCGATAGACCGCCCGGATCCTCTCTGAGGACTCGTACTGCAACTTGCAGAAACTTCAGATCCTTGACTCTGGCGAACTAGGAACCCTCGTACTCGTCGTTGTAGCCAATAGATTGCCCGGATCCTCTCCAAGGAATTGTACTGACTTCTGGAAACTTTGGATCCTTGACTCAGGTGAACTAGGAACCATAATCTTCTTCGTACTTGTACTTGTTGTCGTAGCCAATAGATTGCTTGGATCCTCTCCGAGGAATCATACCGACTTCCGGAAACTTTGGATCGACTCCGGAGAACTAGGAACGGATTGACTCCGGCAAACTAGAAATGCCAGCATCCTCTTCTACTCGTACTTTTTGTCCCCAAATGAGTGGTGGTGGATAAAAGGACTTGTCCG